CTGTCACGGCAGCTTACTCGTGTGTGTCACTCACGGCAGGGCCACCTGCCGCCTCGCGCGCGCTCACACACCAGCGAGAAGCCATCCACGGGAGACTTCGGAGGGGAGACCAGAGGGGGGAAGACCTCGGCTTTGTTTCTGAAAATTTATCCATCTTTAATTCAGAGTTGTTGTCCCCTCGCGCTGCTGGAGTTGGATCCGCTTTCTGATGAGCTCAGCGTGCCGCCATGTTGCGTCGCGGGTCAAGAATTCAAATAAAACCTGTCCTGGTTAATGAGTGAAACATTCATTCTCACTTCGTCATAGTTATCATAACCATTCCACCTCTGATATATTCTCTTTCACGTTTCCACCCACATTTTCTCTATTTCTCCCATAATCCCAACCACTATCTTTGAGAGAAATATCTCTCTAAGTAAGCAGAAATGGAATCCATATTGATTTTAAAATGCTTGTATCCCGAGCATCATCCTATAAACCAGGGTCTGCTGTCATACATTCCAGTACAGTATATTTATATAGATATTTTTCTAGTGTATGCTCCATTAAGAAGCTGCTCACAGTTTTCTCTGCTGTCTGGGTCCCAACTCAAACATCTATGTGTGTGTATGCGTGTGCATGCGTGTGTGCGTGTGTTTCTGTCAGGCAACCTGTTTCTGAAGGCGGCACATATGAAGGAAGCGTGACAGCACTGGCACGACCCTCGACATACATCTATGAATATGCTTGTTATTTAAATTGATTAGGTTAGTAAGTTAGCTTAGTGACATATTTAAGTAAATAACTGATGGCTTTTTTAAGACTAATTTATATTTGATGTAAAAAAAAAAAAAAAAAAGCATATTTGTGCCCCTTCAAAATGGCCTTAAACTCCATCTTTGCATTGATGTGCGTCGTTACCTGTGGGTTCTTCTTTTCTCTTGTTTAAGGATTATTCCAATGTTAGTAGACAGGAAGATACGAATAAATAAAGTGGATATCTGAGTCTCTTTAATGCTGGGTAAACAAGCCGATCAATAAAAAGCAAAAAAAAAATCCAAATAAAAAAAGGAAATCATATTTATGTCCAATTGTCTCTTAGTATGTCTTTAGAATGCCATTGTAAACTTTGAGATAACACTGAACCCAATAAAACAATGTTTAAAGGTATTTTAAGTTTTTCTAGTCTTTTTCTTTTTTAAGTCTTGATGACAGTGGCTCAACTACAACACATTATTTTTATATACAATGTCCAGACTTTAAATCAGAATGATCACTTTCTATTTCAGGTCAGTTACCAAAAGGACATAAACTTCTGAATTTGAAGAAATTAGACATAATTTCTTCAAATGAGGAAGGCATTCCTTCATTCGAAGAAATTTCAAATTAAGAAATTTGAATCAAGAATAAAAGAATTCTCTCATTATTCAGACACTTAGTAATTACGCTTAATTCTGGTAACGCTTAATTAACTTAAAAGAGAAAAAGTGAAACATATTACAGAAAGTGAGGAAAAATGTATGTGTATCTGTGCGTGTGTGTCTAAATTGGTTTAAACTGTATCTATACAGCACAAAAAGTTGAAATCACACGCCATGGAAGAAAGAGAAAATCCAGGCGGACAGTGACGGCACGACTGATGAGAGGAAATGGGCTGAATGTAAATACAAACGAAGGTCAAGCATGATGGAATAAACAAATTCAAATCTCGGGCTGAACCTCAGGCCGTTTAGGATGTTTTTTTTTTCCGGTGCCAAATTTTCACTAAAAGTAAAAGCCTCATCTTAAGAACTCCATTCAACAGAAACACAACCACAGCCTGCAGCAAAATCAGATATGTCATTCTTCCTGTTCAACAATAAAAAACAAAAGTTCTTTTATGATTTCTTTAAAAAAATGTTGAAAACTCCCCCCGAACTGAACAGATCAGAGAATGTGATGCATTCGGTTTTTTGACAAAGTTTTATATCATCCACCTAAGATTGTAAATGCAGATCATGTGTCGGTTATTATCAAAGGAAATATTAACTGAACTGGCCCTAACCCAGAACCCTGAAGACACCGCTGATAACTCAGGTAAGTGTTAGCTGGAAGGAGAAAATCACCATATTTAACAAAATAAAAGGCTTGAAAACATCAATGTAGTCAATCTATTAGCAGAGATGTCCAAATTTTGGTCAAAAGAACATTCTAGTACCTACATAACAATAAACTAAGCATGCAACTGTAAAAGGTGTTATCTGATTTATCTAATTAAAAGAAATTTAGTTAATTTTATCTTTATGAACTGGAATTATTTTTATTTTTCTGTCATTTCTGAGCAATAAAATTAGGATTTGTGTTCCTCTTTCTTTGAAAACACTTGCTTTAATCAACTTTAATAAATGAACTAAAAGGGGGCAGCATAGTTAGCTTTTCAGTAAAAGTCACTGGATATATTTGGTCCTTGCAAGAGAATGCAAAATGCGTTGTTATTTAAAGACAAATAATTGGTGTTGCTGCGAGTGTTTTCTTTTTAAGGAAATTTTACTTTAATAATTTCATCTTAATTAAAAATAGAAAATCTGTATTCATATCACTGGATGTCAGGGGCCAGACAAAATCATTCCACTGGCTGCAAGCGATACAATAACCCCTGTTATTATGTGTTTCACTCAGACAGCTGCGTTTCTGAAATAAATGAACTTTTCAGTCTTATTGTAATCTGAATGGTTCTCGCAGCACACTGCTGTTACCAGGTAGCACTGGATCCTCACAGTGAGATGATCAGATTCAGCTCCTGATTGGAGAATTTCTTCTTCAGCTTCTATTAAAAAAAAAAAATCATACTTTACATCTAAAGTGCCCTGAGCTGATTGTGTGCACGTGAATTTCTGTTTCTTTGTGGATTTGTATCTTGAAAAGCAAACAAGGCATAACAGAAGCCTGAAGAGAAAGGGCCAAGTTGAGAGCCTGAGACTCCGCTGCATCAAAAGACACAACATTCATCAATGACTGAATGCAAAAATACAAACACTCCAAGCCAGTAAAAGCTTTAGGAAACAGACGTCTTCTGGAGTGTGTTGCATCTTCACTATATGTACTCTCCTGGTCCGGATCTAATGGGGGAAGAAGCCACAAGTACCTCAGGTTTGATGTGGAGCTTCAAAAAGCAACATAAACAAAAAGGAACAAGAGACCAAACCAAGCTGGGAAACAGGCTGTTTGTCAGCAGATCCAGCCTGAAAAAGTCCAGAAATATTTTATTTTTATTTTCTTTTTTTGCTTATTTTACCAGAATAAAAACCCATTGAGATTAAAAACCTTTTTCAAAGGTCAAGAGGCTGCAACAAATGCAACACAAAAAGTAGACAGATAAAAGGAAATGTCAAGCTAAAAAAACCAAAAACACACACAGTTACATGTCATTGAATCTCAACACTCACTGTCATGTCTCCCTGATGGCAAAGACAAGAAGACTTTCTGTGTCCGAATGTGGAAACACTGCTGATTTGCACAAGCAAAGTCTGTAGCAACAACCAATCACTGCTAAGGTTTAATGAACAAAAACAATTAGTTCTTAAACATCCTAAGGGCAATGGAACAAAATCAAGATCATTTCAGCAGAGCAGAGCCAGATGATCCACAGATCCTCAACTGGAGCCCCAACAACCAGAAGAGAGCGTCCACAAGAGAAGAGCTTCAATTACAAACGTCTATCACGGCCGCAAACTTCTCCATGGAACACTTACAGATGTAAGAAAGTTTTGTTTTCAGATAAATAAATAAAAACCTTGACGTCTTCCAACATTACTGAAATGAATTAGAGATGTTTCGTCCCAGTGGAAGTCCAACTATGACCTCCAGGTTCAGACTGCAGCTATGATGATGCAGAGATGTTGCAGTGAGCATTCCTCTTTGCTGATGTAATAAAAATTTAGATTAATAAAAATAAACAAACAACAGTTGGACTTGTTTCAACTAGTAAAATGTAAAATTAAATCTCAACAAAATGGTGCTGATTAATTATTCATTACTGAGGTCATTTTTTAGACTTTTGGCTATAGTTTAAATCCATTTTTTTTTTATTTCTTTCCATCTCTTTCCTTTTTGTTTTTTTCTGTTACATCATTATATCAGATCTTGATCAGGAGTGTATACATCATGCATCAAGACTGTAAACAATCAAATAACACTCATAATATATTACATAACTAGATTTCCTGTAAAATTGGACTTTTCCATCACATAGCCGTTGATTTCTGACTCAGTGTTGACGTTTCTGCAAATGTAATACACCACTCAGCCTTTAAGGTGGCCCATTAGGCCTCCTTGAACAGGTTATGATACGTTTATGGGTGATACAAAACATGCCCATCACATTTTTTGCACAAATCATTCTTAAATAGTGACTTTTGAGTCTGCTCAGTTCTGTCTATTTCGAGCTCCATTCGAAGTGTTTTAGGGAATGTTCGAAATGTTCTGTCACTTTAAATCTAAACAAGCTGCTGCTGGTCTCTCCCTCCCATGTGTTGTGCAGGAGATGTGGAGCCTCTTGCACAACCAATAAAAACACAACAAGTGGTTTCTGGATGGAAAGTCAACAACAAAACACTTTTTTTCTTTTTCAGCAGCCTTTCTACAGGGCATAAGCAGTCAATACAGCTGACCAAATATGCTGCAGCGGCGCTTGGGATGCTGGGTAACAGGCTGGACTTCGCTGGGGTTGCTGATTTGGGAGGTTTTCATTTTCCAGACACCAAAAAAAAAAGATTTCACTTATTGCCTAAAAACATCTGGGTTTTTAGGCAATAAAACGCTTTGACTGTTAATGCTTTGACTGTTTTTAGAAGAAGTAGAAACCCAAATAGAAGTATAAAAACATGCAAAATGTGAATTTTCTATTTGATAAAACTATCAAATAGAAGCAAAAAAATTGTTGATATAAAATGTAAGTTTTAGTTCAGTGCTGCAGGAAAGAAAATTTCATAAAACTCTCTTTACAGATTTTTTTTCTGCTCCTTAATCAAAACAAGTTAAACTGAGTTATCATAAAGTTTTATTATTAATCTGTGATTACATGTGGACTGCTACAGCAGTATTAATGACAGAAGCCTTCAGTAGCTGTAGAGGAGCCTCTGTGGCCCCCCATCTCACTTCCACTGGCCCTTGTCATAGTCCCACTTGGCGGATAATCCCTCCACAGGGTTGATCCTCATGTCCAGCATTCTCTGGAGCTGCATGGCCTTCCAGTCATCCTCCAGCGTCCTGGGTCTGGGGGGGTACACTGGAGAAGACAACAGGTTATGATCCCAGGTCTCCTTTTACTGCCAAATCTGTTAAGAGAATGAAAACCTTTTTACCGTAAATCCTCTGCCACCAGACCACCAGACCCGTGAAGCCCAGGAAGAAGAGCACTCCACCCAACACAGTCTTCCACTCTGCTGAGGGAGCCTTCATCTCAGAGTAGCTCTGGCAGAACTTGAGACGGTACACTGGAGGGAAGCAGAGAGGAGTCTGCTTTCAACTTCTACATTCAAGATTAAAAAAAAAAAAAAAAAAAAAAAAAAAAAGACAACATAAAACCCCAAAAGCGAACGAGCCGAAAATAGAATTCGGTGTTTTATAAAATGATTCTTCCAGAATCATTTTATAATGATTTATAATCATTTTATGATTCTGAAAAGAATCATTATAAATGATTATTTTATAATGATTCTTTCATTATAAAAGAATCATTATAAAATATTATAATGATTTATAATCATTATAATGCATCCATTTAACTTTTCCACATTTAATCTCGTTACAACTAAAAATTTCAAGGTACTTAACTGTGATTTTATGCGACTGACCAGCACAACGTGGTGCCTATTGAAACAAAAACTAAAAATGTGTTTTGTTAGGCAGCATTAGAGAACAAGGAGGAGCACCAGGACCGAGGAGCACAGCAGACGGGTCAGGGAGAACATGGCGAAGGAGTTTAAAGCAGAGTTATGGTCTAAACTTACAGTTTTATCACAATATTCTGTGATATTGCAACTATGCATCTCTGGAAAGCAGAAGAACCTTAACAATTCTATTACAATAGTAACAGTATTGCATCATTATCACTATTGTAATAAAGCTTAAAGTGATGAAAATAACTATTTATTACTTTATTTGTAGCTAACTTGACTCCATGACACAGCAATTAAAGCCCCACAACACAAATATTGCTCTTGAACAGCATTTCCATTTGTTTCTTTAGGACACTGTTCACATAAAGAGGTGAGATTGTCATCGCTAAACTGCCCACAGTGACTGCATTTGATCACATTTTAAAATTTACTGATATTTATTGATACACCTTTATTGAACAATCTGTGGAGAAAAATTGTACAAAAAAAATAAATAAATAAACAACAACAAAAAAAACCCATCTCAACAATACGGACAGTTTTGGGGTTTTGTAAACATCATTAAGTGGAATTTACTGTGACAACAATAAATCAAAAATCCTTATCATAATAACACATTTATCACAATAAATAATAAACAATACAATAAATGCCTTTCCCCATTCCAAAACAATATGTTAAACTCAAAAAATCCGCTACAGAGGCACAACTACAAACCTACCAACACATGGCATGGTTTAGACCAATGTGGTGGATGTGTTTAGAATGGCCCAGTCAAAGTCCAAACTGAGTCTGTGGCAAAAATAAAAGTTCACAGATACTCTCCAGCCAACCTGACTGAGTATGAACTATTTGGAAAGAGGCCTTGGGCTGAAATCTGCAGAACTTTAAAAACTGTCACTATTACACGCCACTTTGTGTTGGTCTGTCACATGAAACCACAATGAAATACACTGAATGTGTTAATGTGGTCATATGTGAAAAAGATATCTAACTGTGTGAACTAATGAATCCCTGAAGAAAGAGAAGAAATCAGACGGTTCATTTACAGATCTGTGTAAATTTCTTGAGTTTGATACATTTCTGCATATTTTAGTGTTTCTGAGCCAGACTGTGTTCTTCTTTGAATGAAAGTTGGTTTACATTTACAACACTGCGCTGTAAGTCCATGTTTTACCATCTGATGTAACATTTTCTATTTCTTTTTTGACATTTTTTTGACTAGTCTCAGTTCCCCTGTCAGAATTTTCCCTGAATGATTTATTATTGTGACACATCCAAATATAAACTGTCTGAGTCATAATCAGCATCAGTTTGAGTTTATTTCCAAAGCATATTTAAAACCAGTGACAAATGATGATTTTATATAAACATGAACAAAGGAAATGAAACCTGAACAACCTTTATGTTGCTCTCTGATGTCAGCTTCCAGATTCTCACCAGGAGAGGTTTCATCTGACTGGTGTTACTGGTATTAATAATCCGCTGGCTCATTTGGAGCAGATGATGAAAATTCTAACCTTTCAGATTAAGAAGTGGGCGGGACTTACAGGCGACCTTCTCCTCATTGGTCAGCTGACTCCAGGGTCCTTTCTCCTTCTGTTTCAGCTTCTGTTCAGCTTCACTCAGCACGTCCTTATAGGGCTTGTCAGGCAGAGGCATGTCCACGCGGTCGTAGTACATCGGCCGAGACATGTCCAGTGCCTCTGACACCTCTGGAAGGACAGCAGTACAAGAAGATATTGTTATTATTATTGTTATTGTTGTTTTTATTGTTGTTTTCACAGTCATCTAAAGGACGAGATGTTTTCAAGATGGTGCAACAGTGCCATCTGCTGGTTTGACACATACACGTTCTGATGTTTGGATTTATTTTCCCTATTGAAGTGCAAATAAAAACATCGGTAATATTAAAGCCAGATTACTGCTGGACATATGGGCACCAGCCTCCCTGTTCAGTCCTGGAAGGATAAACGTGTTGGATAATCAAAAGAAGCACGACTAGCATGAAGTGGTCTTACTAAGAACAAATTCTTAGTAAGACGCATTTCTCGAATATATTTGTTTTATTATGTTAACAGGGAGCCATTTAATAAAGAAGCTGCAAAACCTTTTTGTATTGTAACAGAGATTTGTTGATTAAATACATGGAACAGTGAGGGAATCAGTGTGTGTTTTATTAGATCTCAGTATAGTTTCCTCTGATTGATATTGAGTTTTTTTTATGTTTTTTTTTTCCCTGAATTGTTTGCTTAAATTTATGACAACAGGGACCTAAACCTGGAATGAATGAACAAACAGGTAAAAAACAAACAAACAAAAAACATTGTTGATTAGTTATCATGAACTAATCTCATGAAAACACACTGAGTTGATCATTAATGCACAGTGAGAATCAGGAACCTTCTTCATACGCCATGTGTTATTTTGCGATTATATGAATTCTAGTCTTATATTAAATTCTTACCACTTAATTTAAACAAAGAAAAGAAACATGAATCGTTTACAACAACTTCACATTTTGCTCCAAAATTAAGTTCAGCATGAGAAACCTTGCCAATCTATGACAGAAAAAAAATGCAAAAAACAAATCAAAGTTTTTTCAGATTATTAATATGAGTAATATTCGTACCATGGCTCTGTTGGCTCGCCGCCCTCCCCTTGATGCTGAAGGTCAGGGCTGCTGTGGGCCGGCCGGCCAGAAGACTTCCCAGGCGAGACGAGGTCAAGCGCAGCATCTGCAAACGCATGAGTGAATGTTTTTATCCCGCCTGCTGCTCAGAATGGTGATTTACTAGAAATATGGAGAGAGAATTTGTTTCCATGACTAACACTAGGAATACAAGCTGTTTAAGCTCCAAAGTGGTCATCACACACTGAGTTTTCCTGAATTGTAAATGTAAGTTGAAGCAAAATATTACGATAATTTATTCCAAAGACCATAAATAGTAACAATTTGGCAGAGCCTGTTTTCTTACTTTTACAGATCTCCTTCCTTCCTTCCTTCCTTTCTTACTTCCTTCCTTCCTTCCTTCCTTCCTTCCTTCCTTCCTTCCTTCCTTCCTTCCGTCCGTCC